CTTGTGTTATGATAGAGCCATTCTCCATGTCTGGATTTGTTGACATGTCCTAGTCTAACTTAATACATTATATTACTGTATTATGGCCTTCTTGACCCAAATCTTATGCTCCTCTTCTCAACTCTGCATATCATCATTACAGTGGTCCACTTTGGAACTTCCTGATTTTTAGGGACTTGTCAAAAATTAGCACTAGTTCCCCTTTTTTCTGTTCTAAGCCTAATTATATTTTTAAAATAAGCAATGGGGCAAGAATTGTCAGGCTCCAAGAGTTCTGAAAAATAAATAAAATTATTAGAACATAACCTTTATCCTATGCAAAGCAGAGTGACTAAACACTAAGATGGCCAGTTCTAAATCTGATGCCCTATACTGTGATTCCTTTTTTTTTTTTTTTTCCTTTATTTTATATCTATCGGACCCAGACTCTGACTGATGTTTGGGGCCTCTGACCCCTAGGTCCTTGCTTCCAGGGGGCATGGTTCTTTTCATAATCTCTCAGGGAAGATATGGTATGGAGTGCACCATCCAGTCATAGTCCATTACCGGCTTCAGGCAGGCTTCCTAGATGGACTCCCTGTTTTTCCCACAATATTCAGCAATGGGCTAGCATGCTTTGGGAGCACAGAATTTCACAGAATATTTGCAAGGATACATGTTCCACTTTTACAATAAAATGAAATCTTTCTAGTACCCAAAATATCCTATTGGCATTTTTCATTGATGCTGTGAATTTGTAGATTAATTTAGGGAGAACTGACATCTGGAAGTTGGCTTATGCTATCTGGTGGAATATTAGTTCCTACATAGCAGCAATCTTCTCTTTGGTTCAGCTGGTCAGTTTTATTGGATGGATAAAAGGAATGTTTTTGTTTGTTCTGATCTTATCTTACACCCCTAAAAGTGTTTTAAAGTTTCCTTCATCTAGATCTTGCCCATTTTCCACTAAGTTTTCCTTTTGGGCTACTGTAAATTCAGTCCTTTTTTCTGTAGTAACTTATAACTTATCATTTGTCATGCACATAAAGGCTGTAAATTTTTTGCATTTTAATTTTGTAGCCATTTATATTATCGAAGTTTCTTATTTCTTTGCAAGAACTTTTCATAATTCTTTTGCTTTTGCCAGGGAACTTTGTGACTTGCCTTACAACTTTCTGGAATTCAGTAATTAAGAAGATTGAATTAAAATCCAAAGAAAAATTGCAAACAAGCAAAGCCCATTCTATCAATGAGATTCTTGTTATGTTGAGTGAATACTGGTACAGATGTAAACCTCTCATTTCTTCTATAAGATAATTAAATATGGTGATTAAGGAAAACGTCAAATCCATCTCATTCCTTTGCCAGTTGGGCATCATCTGTTCCCTTTGCTGCTTGCTAATTTGAAGAGACCGCATTCTTTGCTACATGGCCCTCTTAATTTGGGGAGGGATATCTGCAAGTTAAATCACAAAGTAAGAAATTGTCAGTTTATATTAGCTTGCCGAGCGCCTCTGTTTCTCTGTGGAAGTTGTTCCATAAGCCTTGATATAAAAGGGAGTTCATGCAAATGAATGCATCTGTCTTCATTTCTCCTTGCCATTAGATCATTATGCAAACATTAAACACCAGAAAAGACATAAAATGATTGATTAGACTAGTGGAGAGTATAGGTTAGCAAAATACAAACTCCAGAATCATGTCCTTCCCCCTCCAGACTGCTTCTTTTCTCCTATACCCTCAAAAATACTATAAAAGATTTAGTTGATCCTTCATGGACTAGAGATAGTTATTGGCAGGTAACATTTTTGTAATTCAGCACATTATCTTACAAGACTATTCTCTTTATTCCTGAGTTTTTGCCTACTTTAGAATCCTGCTTTGTTCTATTCTGCTCAGCTAATTCTGATCAATAAATCCAGACAGATTAAACAGAGACAAAATTGTGAAATAGATGTTGCATTTGCAACTTCAAACATTCAGTTGACATTGTTGCCAGGGCCATCTCCTCTGTGGCCACCGCTTCCACAGCTCACACTTTGTCATGGTGGTCTGTGACCCACTTACCTCTGTGACTGATTGTAGCTTCTCTGACTTGTTTTATCTTTGAGTTTCCTAATCTGGCTCGTAGTGGTTGAATCAATGAAGGCGCAAATTATTAATGACCTAATGCATATTTTCTTCTTGTATCACTAAAAGTAGCTCTTTGGGAAAAGATTGGAAATATTTTTCTGGACAATGATGTAAATTCTAAGAGTAAATTGTAAAGGGTAATGAACTCTTTTCTGGTTTCAAAATAGCTTAGATGTCTTATATATGAACATGGACCAATTTAAACTTTAGTCAGTAACCTGAGGAGGACCTGCCTGGGTTCCTCTGTAGAAAACTGCATCGGGGCCTCCCTGGTGACCCAAGGGAGGTTGGTCTCGGCACTACGAGCTATCAGCAGCCACTGCAGCAGGAATTCAATCCCCGACCAGGGGTGCGACCTCCATGGCTCAGCAGACTTCTCCTGTCTCACCCACTCTTCCCCTCAGCAGTGTGTTTCAACAGATCTGCCTGTTCTGCTCCCCACTCAGTCACTGGTGAATCCTCTCACCCCCCTGCACCTCTGGCCTGCACCCCAGTTCTTGTATGCATAAAAAGTAAATCTTATTTAAAAGATATATTAAAAGAAAACTGAATTGTTCACATCCCATCAGCTGTACTGTGTACTGGTGGCCCATTTCATGCAGGGCATGTTCTTGGAAGCCTGCACAGGAATAAAGTTTTATGAATTGAAACTCGTTTCTCACTTGTGTGCCATTACTATTTCATAGCTGCTTCTTTGTGCCTTTGTGACTCACCCTAAGACAGACCCTCAAAAAACTGTCTCCAACACTTGAGTAAAGATCTAGAATCAAATGCTTAAATATACATATTTAAAGAAGATGGAAAGAATTCTTCTGGGCAAAATTGTTAAGCATGTTATGTGTCTGTAATGTGAACAGTATTCTCCTATTATGTAATTTTCATTAATTATTAACTTTATTTTTTAAATATTTTATATGTAGCCTTCTGCCTTTTAAAAGGATGTGTCAGGGATTTTTTTGTTCATCTCTTCAAATATTTGGGCTGTGTGTGCTGTATGGGGTGTGAAGGGAATGGTTTTGTTCTACTGTAAGGGGTTGTAGATGGCATGCACACGGTGAGGGAGGCTTTTTACATAGCTTCTGGCCAGTGATGTAAAGGTGCTGTGCTCTTATGCATTGACAGGGATTTGGATTGTTGAATTTCAATTTTTTTCTCTCATACAAAAGGTAGTAGATGAAACTGGCCTCTCTCACACTTGTAGAATCTTCTTTGGCTTCTGCTATGAAGGGCAAGAGCAATAAAGGTATGCAGTGTTATAAAACCACCCAGAAAAGGGCTTCCAGCGATGGCCTGCTAGGTGCAGAGTCAAAGGACAGCAGATGGAAAGCTGTACCTGGACGTCCTGGACATCACTGCGGGAAGAATAACACTCTTTCCCCAAGTGCTCTGTTCTCCTGCTAGATCCGATGAGAGAGCATTTCCCTCCCTGACATAATTTGACTTTTTAATGGATTAGTGGGATCATGTATCAGCAATGACAATTTAAAAACCTATGTGATAAGAATTTATGTAGACTTTTGAAGGAATAATACACTGTTATGTGGAATGAAGGAGGCGGCAGAGTGTGTAAAATAATCTTTTTCATGTTCTGACTTTGAAACGTCTCTTCTTGCATTTTAATCTGAGTGTCTTTGATATCCTAGAATTTGTAAGCTGATTCATAGCCTAATTAGGAGGAATTGGAAAAAAAGTTGTCCAGTTTCCCATATCTAAGAAGTATGAGTACAGGGGAGAATAACATTGCAGAGAATTTTGAAATACAATTCAAAATTAACTCCGGGATAGGTTAAATGTCCACTCTGTTTATTTTTATTTCTGGAAGGAAAGACAGTCTTAACGTTCTGTTGTATCTAAGTTCAAAAGATTTGGGTTCCTTCCTGATGTATAGACATTATTCCACAAGACTAGTGTGGTTTTTTTCAACTTTGTAAGTAGAGAATGAAGGACTTCCTGGCAGTTACCTGGGGATTCTGAGGACTAACCTACCTTATCATATTGTGGTGTATTCTGTAGAAGTGATGTGAGTTGTTACATGAAGCCGTTCTACTTGTTGGGTTTTGTTTTGTTTTGTTTTTTTGAAAAATTAAAAAAAGGTATAGAGTCAGGGACTCTCCCAGGGGGCTTGAAGGGGTTAAAGCACTGCATAATGAAACTCCAAAGCCACTGCAGCACGAATTCGATTCCCAGCCAGGGAGGTGACCACATGGCGCGGCAGACCTCTCTGGACCCACCCGCTGCTCCCCTCAGCAGTGTACTCCAGTTGATCTGTCTGTTCTGCTCCCCACTCTGTCTCTGGTGAAGCCTCTCACCCCCGCACCTGTGGCCTGTACCTCAGTTCTGTATGTATAAATAAGTAAATCTTCTTAAAAAGTATGCAGTCAATACAATTTTCCCCAAACCTATAGAAAGCTCTCCTCTTGCGTCAGTTGCCTACCTCAGCTGAAATGTACCATGACCGTGAAGTCTGCAGTTGCACTATATACATTTGAACTAGTATTCAATCTCCATTCTAGTCCCTATTTCACAGTTCTCAACTGTTCCCTTTGGAGTTACAAGGAGAGAAACCAGAGAAAGTCACTTGAGAATGGCAGGAAACAAAAGGCAAATATTATCCTTTGTACATAAGCCATGCCAGACTATGTATTGTGAACTTAGAGTGAACTACCCCCCTGGTGCCCATTTTAATAACCTACAATAGAATATCTGCCTCAGCTTTATCTGCATGCTCATCTTTATGAGATGGTCTGCAATTTGCAGTGGAAAAGAGGCCACAGATCTTTTCTCATAAAAGAAAATGTGGAAAGAGTTTATGGGGAGGCGTCCCTTCACCACATACAAAAACATCTGTAAACCCTTGTTTAATAAGGCAAATGCTTTTCTTTTAACAGAGGAATTCAAGGGCTCCACCGTTGTTGAACTGATGAAGAAGGAAGGCACGACCCTCGGGCTGACAGTATCAGGAGGAATTGATAAGGATGGCAAGCCAAGAGTGTCTAATCTTCGGCAAGGAGGAATTGCTGCTAGGTAACTGCATCTCAGGGAAATGTAGGAAAAGGAACACAGGGCGTAATTAATTCACAAATTAAAGCTCCATCAGAAAAGGTCAATAATAAATAAATGACAACTGCCATCTGCCGGGCAAAAGCACAGTGGGGCATGTTACAGAAATGTGGCTTTTCTGGCCTTTGCCAGAGTCACCAGGGAGCGTCTCCTGTCATCTCAGGAGGGGCCAGCCCCGCAAAAGATTTTAATTTGAAGATGCCCATCTGGATCCAATCTCCTAATGTGCCACTGAGCAACAGACTAGCTCCTACAGAAATAAGACCCTCTGGTCACCTAAATGTGGAACAGGGGACCGATATGACATTTGGGGAGCAGGTGTGGGGGAGGGGAAGTGCTACCTTAAGGGAACAAAGCCAGTCTAGAAAGGGCGGGGGCCCCAACCCAAGTTTCTAAGTAAAAACTTTGCTTGTCTTACATGTTGTCTAATTTTCTGGTTGCAAGATTTTCCTTTTCATCACGGCAAAGTGGTGATTTCCAGAAGGATCGGGTTAGAGGAGGTCTCATTTTGTCCTTGTTCCCCTGAGCTGCAGATTGCACTAGCTGTTGCCAAAGACAGAATGGCATGGTCACTGGGCAGTGTGGGCTGGCTGTACGGACACATTCTGAATCTAGCTCCAAACGTGGGTAGAATGACCAGGCGTCATTAAAAGCGAGGTTAATGTACCTTCAATCCTGGACACCAGTAGTCTTGCCCACATATCCCAAATTAAGTCTAAGAGTGTTTGTCTTACAAAGTGTCATCTGAAATAGTGATTACTTCTGATGATTAACTCGTTTGTACCATTTGACTACTCCATAATCCAAGGTATTATTTGCACATTTGACTGCTCCATAATCCAAGGTATTACTTGCACAACAGGCTGATGTCACACAAGCACCTTAATTTCCTTTCTCCATAGCCTTCTTTTTCCATAGTATTCAAACAGGGATGCTAGGCTTTCATATGCCTCCAGAGTTGCTCATATGTAGCCCCCAAAGGAAGTGTGTGTGGGGAGATGAACATCATTTTGAATTGCATTAATGCTGTAATTTAAAATACTGTAAGCTGTGCCAGCATAGCAAATATTATCAATCACCATATATTCACTATTTAAGGACCATTTTATAGTCAGGAAGCCAAAATAACTAAAGTTAAGGTACCTGCCCTAAAGGGCTTTTAGTCTACTAGGGAAGACAGGGTGTGAAAAAGCAAGAAAAGTTGGGGAGCCATAATAGCGTTGCATAATAGGTAAAAGCAGCAACACAGAGCATGAGGCGATTAAGCCGCCAAGTAAGTGTCAGTCAACATGAGGAGAGAGTGACAGCTTGCACCTCAGGGGGAGCTGGCATTAGGGAGGCCTCCAAAGGAGGCATGATTGCAGCTGGACTTACATAAAATAAAAATTAGGTGTTCATATTTGGGAGAGAATATTATTTAAAGTCCTTATCAGTGACATGATTTTTTCCTCCATCACTCTCCCTCATCCTTCAACCCTTTCTCCCTCCCCATCTTCACTCCCTTAGTTTAGTGTTTGCTAGTTTTTATGTAAGTATTTTGCATTGTCAGTGACGTGAATTTTAAGTCCAACTAAAAGCCCCAAAGTGGCCAAACTTCTGTTTATGGTCATGAAGAAAGACAAGAGTGTTCTGGAAATCCAAGCCTTTCAGTAAAGTGTCTTCACCAAATCCTCTGTTTTACCAGCCCTGCTGTAAGCAATAAATTGCCAAGTAAACTGACCCTTTTTTTTAGCTGTAGACAAACTTCCAGAGAAAGTATTGGAAGTATGAAATGCCCAAAGGCAGGCAGCAAAAAATGAGAAGGAATGAGAAAGAAGAAAAATTCCTCATGTGTCCAGGATCTGAATAGTCTGCCCCAGAGAATCAGTGCTTTATAGGCAACAGAACTGAAACCATTTTCTCTTTATTTGGCTTTACGGTGCTCTTTAAAAATAAAAGGGGCAAAGGGTAGGAACAAGTCAAAAAGACTGTAGTGGACCCCGGGCAAGACTTCTTAAAGTCTAGCAGTGGGCCAGAGATAAACGATCCATTCTCTCTCACCCACCCTGGGGCGTCCTCAACCCCACTCTCAGGGGGCACCACGTCCTGAGAGCAGGGGCTTGTGCTGTATCAGGCTCCCAGACTGCTGCTTGCTCATGAAGGGAAAGTAGGAAATACAGACAGTCTGTCCTGTGGAGAGGACGGGTCCATTGAGTGGCTTTCTCTATTTTGCAGAAGTGATCAACTGGATGTGGGGGACTACATCAAAGCTGTGAATGGGATCAACCTGGCCAAGTTCCGCCATGATGAGATCATCAGCTTGCTGAAGAATGTCGGGGAAAGAGTTGTTCTTGAAGTTGAGTATGAGCTGCCACCTGTCTGTAAGTAATCGTAACCCAGTAGAACAGAGCCACGCTTTTTCCCCAAACCAAATATTAGAATTGGTGATCACATAACCTACTCAGAAAGTTAAAAGTACATGTATTCAATGAAATTAGCTAGGACTCTTATTGCATTAAGGTGAGCTGTGAACATTGTATTTGCCACTTAAGCTACTTCACACTGAACAATCAAGATATTTACAAGTCCTGTGCATTCTCTACAAAGCCTCCAGGCTTTGTACTGAATGGCTATGCTTCAGAAAAAACATGTTTAGCATGCTTTATATTGATTCTTGTATAGTTATGTTAATTAGCAATGTATGAACATAGACTCAGAATACACTGTGATCAAGTAGTCAGGTAATGATAAGAACAAGAGCAGTCAACACATTTTGAGAGCTTACTCATGTCTGGGTAATAAGGAGCCTGATTCATATTGATTATTTAAGTCCTCACCACAAGGAAAATCTGCATAATGGAGCCCACTTTGGTGCCAGATAACCAGGTTCAAATCCTAGCTCCACCTTTTACTAGCTACACACCTTTTAAAAAGTTAGTTAAGCTTTCTGGGTCTCTGTTTCTTGCTCCTGGAAAATAAGACTATCTGGTGTTATGAAGATGTAGTGAAGATGAAATAAGTTGGTCTTTGGAAAGCACTTAGAACAGTGCCTAGCACTACTCTTGATAATTTTTGATAAATAGTATATAAATCAATCAATACTACAAGATAGGCAGTACTATTCTCATTTTACTGAGGCTTAAGTTAAATATCTTTTTTACAGTAGTAGGCAACAAACTCAGTATTTGAACCCAGGCTCCCCAACTCCAAAAGCCATGTGTCTACATGGGGAGGTATACCTGATGTTTAACTGAACCACTGCCCTGCCTTTTAGCTATGCTGGTCTAATTCCACATCTCCTGTTACTAAGCAATTTACATGGGTGCTACTCTGGGAAAGCTCTTTGTTTCTCTGCACTGGTGAGAATCCAGATTGATTATTAATGCGCCATAATAAATCATTTGTTTAGCAATGACTTATTGAACATTTACCATATTCCAGATACCATAAGTATTAGGATGTAAGGTAAATTAGTGGAGTTTACTTTCTGCAGGAAAAACAGAAAACAAAGCCACAGTAAATTAGTAAGTTGTATAGTGAGAATGCTGGTGGGTCATGAATAGTGTTAGAGAAAGAAAACAGAGCAGGGAGAGGAGCCGGGAGTGCTGGGGTGGGTAGGGGCTGGGGTGATTGTAAATAAGGTGACTAGAAACAGCTTCATTGAGAAATGACATGAGCCAATAATTTGAAGGTGAGGAAGTTGACCATATGAATTTGTGAGGGAAGAGAGCTCCAGAAAGAGAAGAGACAACAGCCAGTGTTAAGATCAAAAAGCAGGAATATATCTGGGATTTCTCTAGAAACATTAAGAAATACAACATGTGTGGCCTGTGCCCTACTCTACTGGAAGCACCTTAGGTTTTTGTTCTGAATGATATAGGAAGTACTCTGTGTTTTGGGGCAAAGGAGGGACATGATATTTGTGGAGCATAGGCTGTAGAAGACAAGGGTAGAGGGCCCTCCCCTGATGATGCAGTGAGTTAAAACACAACACTAAGAAGCTAAAGCCACTTCAGCATGAGTTCCATCCCTGCCCCAGAGGTGACCCACATGGCGCAGCAGACCTCTCCTGACCCTCCTGCTGCTCCCCTCAGAGGTGTATTTCATCAGTCGGCCTGTTTTTGCTCCCCACTGTCTCTGGTGAAGCCTCTCACCACCCTGCACCTCTAGCCTGTACCCCAGTTCTGAATGCATAAAGAAATCTTAAAAAAAAAAAAAAAAGACAAGGGTAGAAACAGGGAGACCAGTTGAGTGGCTGTTAATTAGTGATCCAAGTAGGAGGTGCTGGTGGAGGTACCAAAAAGCAGTCACAGTCTCCACCTGTTTTCAAGGAGTAACCAACAGGATTGGCTCCCTGATGGGTTGTACAGAAATAGAGAAGTCAGGAACCAACTTGAGGTTTTGAGGCTGAGCAATTAGAAGAATGGGGTTACCATTCCAGCAGGATTAAGAATGTGGGCAGAACTGGTTTCCAAGGGGAAAGCCTTAAGTTCATTGTTAGAAAGGCCGCATTTAAAGTGCCTTTTTTTTTTCTCTTTCTTTTTTTTTTTTTAATAGTTTATTTTTACATCTTTTTCCATCTCAGTTGTAATCCCAGTGGGCTTCCCATCACCAAATCACCTGTGTGCCATCACCATAGTATAAGGTACCTATTTTATAGGCAAGATAAAGTGACAAGAAAAGGGCTAGATCATGGTTTAGATTGTGGGTAAAATATCTGAACTGGAAACATAAATTGAAGTTTCATGAGAATATGGGTAGTGGTATATGCTTTAGACCAGACACAGTACTCATAACCAGTCATAAGTCCCATGAAAATCTACTTGACTATGTAACAGAATCTATTTAAATTGTGTTTGTAACCTTCTTATAAGGTCCTTCTTACAAGGTCCTTCATATTCAGCAAGGATCTGCAGTAAAATAAAATGTTAAGAACTTGTAAAAGTCCTATCTTCCCCTTTCTTTGTGATGATGAACATTATATGTAAGTTCTCTAATCTTTAGGTTTCTCACCTGTAAAATAGCTATGATAGTTGTAGAATTTTTGTAAATGTAACACTATAATCATATAAAATATTTAGATCATCATCTCATACTCAGTAAGCCATAATATGCATCAGTCATTACTACCATGATTATTAATATTCCATTGAAAGTATTTTGTTTTCTCAAATGTTAACAGTTCATTTGCTTTGAAATTCTACCTCACTCCATTGCCAAAGAGTAAAAAGAAGCCAGCTTTCTAGAGCTACTGCTCTTTGATTGAGGAGTTTTATACCACTGGGGGTATGCATAGCAATAGGAAGACCCTGTCATACTAAAAGGAACTCTTATTATAGCCTTCAGAGATAAAGGCCTATGGTGGAGATTTTTCATATATATGGATGAGCTGGAGGTTGCTGGGTAGAGTTGAAGCCTCCAGGATTAAAAAAAATATTACAGATAGAGGGTACAAGCAAGGAGGTAAGATCATCCAATACGCAGGTTGAACTACAAATGGTTTGGAGCTGCTGGAGGACAAAGGGGAAGATAGAGAGAGCCTGCAAAGTGACCAGTGAGACAGGTAGGAATAAAACAATGAAGCGTCTTATAAGCCACATTCGTGGAACTTTGATAGTGTCGAGAAGACTATAAGAGAAAGTCAAAGAATAGCATCATTAGATCTGAGTCTTTGGACTAATCATTTTTAGGAAGTCAAATAAAGAATAGGCCAGAGACTGTAAGTCCAAAGGCATCTTCTAAAAGAAACAGTATCCTGAATAAATATAACATTAGTGGGATTGAAGAGTAGAGGAAGTGTATCAGAAATAGTTGGGGGTAATAGCCTATCATAATCAGGCCCACCAGCTTTTCCATTCTTATGCATAATGTGGATGGATAGGGGGAAAATGTTTTTTAAGCACAAAAGTATATGGATGTTATGGTAGATAGCAGATAGGAGAGGACTACTTTCCAAGGATTATTTTGTCTCATTCTGTTTTGTTTAGATAAATGAATAAGGTCTTTGAGTTCAGAGAGGTTGAAGGGATTATTAAGCTCCCCTTCACTGAGCTCAGACAACCAGAGCCAAGAGCAAGCTGCCAGGGGAGGCCCTGGGAAGAGAGCTAACTTCTCAGAGATGAGCCGCCCCAGGCCAGGATTGGAATTCACTGGAGATCACAGCAATTTAAGGTTTAACCAACCTCAGTTCAGAAAGAACTGGAGGGAAAGGTGTGTGTGTGTGAGTGTGTGTATGTGGGGGTGAGGAGGGAGGGAAACCGTAGACAAGCCACTCAACATTTCTGAGATTCAGTTTCTTTATGATATGGCAGATCTACGTGATCCCTAATCTTTTTGATACTAAAATTCTGTGACACTTTGAGGTTATATGTAGAGAATATATTACCAAGTTGTATCTTAGGGATGTGTGGATTAGCAGTTGGTCCAGAGAAGTGCTTTCACTTCTCATTAGAGGTGGTTATATCATCCCTAATGAGACTTGAAATATTACATATTCTTCATCCAGTTTTATTTAACACTTAAATTTATTATAAGCTTAAATAGTAGGAAAGGATGTTATTTCTGACAGGTTGCTTACTTTATCCATCTCTACATATTATTCAGATCTTAAAGTTACAAATCTACTCATTTATTTTATGTAAAATAGCAGCCACTGAATCTGATGGTGAAGGCAGCCCTCACTGAAGCCATCAGCAATATTAGATTCGCTTTATGTCAGGTGTCCTCCTTGAATACAATACTGTGTAAAGCACATCTGTGTGATGGTCTCCTGAGCTTCTCAATTCTAAAGACATAGATGATAAAAGAAGAGGAAGGAGATGAGGAGGAAGGCAAATAGGAGGGGAGGAGACATAGAAGGAGAGAGGTTTCCTCCATTGGCTCATCCTGGGCATCTAGTCTGTAGGCACAGCAGCTACCCAGGAAATGGCCATGAGAGCAGAGAGGTAAGGGGAGCCCTAGCACGTGAGCACATTTCAGCCTCTGTTTGCATCTCTTAGCATTCCATTGGCAGGTCACACCTGTTCTCCTATTGCAGTAGGAGTGGGCGAGGCAGGGAAATTGTATCTCATCTGATAACACAGAGAATGTCAGACCTCCCTGGTGGCCTACGGGTTGAGTCTCAGCACTGTCACCACTACTACCTGAGTTCAACCCTAGCCACGGAACTGACCTACATGGAGCAGCAGTCCCCTCCTGACTCGCCCGCTGCTCCGCTCAGCAGTGGATTTCAGTGGATCTGCCTGTCGTGCTCCCCACTCTGTCTCTGGTGAATTCTCTTACCCTTGTACCTCTAGCCTATGCTCCAGGTCTTACATGCAAAATAAGTAAATAAATCTTAAAATAAACAGAGAATGTCAGCTCATAGTCTAGCATACATGCATATTCATATATGACAATACAAATAACACACCAAAGAGGAATATTTTTGCTTTATGAAATTGATTTCTACTTAGCATTTCTATGTACCAAACTTGCTTCTTTAGGGAGGCCCTCTCACTGCATCTTTAGTTCCACATATGCACGTGTAAAGTAATAAGTAACATTTTCTTGGCAGCACAGGATGTCCTGGTACCAAATATGAAAATGCAGTCACCATGAGCCATCATGCAAGTAAAAATTACCAACACCAAATCTGTTTCATTAAGTGTTTTAAAATGTAATCAGCATCCACATTTATCTTTGTAAATGATGAGCAGCAATGGTGTGGATAATCTAAGGCTGAAGATAATCACCAAAGTCTTTATGGTGACTTTGGATTTGATCGTAAGATTTTACGGTCAGCAAGATTTAGCTCAGCAAAATTAGAATTACAATACTTGGCATTCCCAAATAGGCACGCGCCAACAAGGACAGGTGGCCCAGTACTAGAATTTGGTTGTGTGTAATTGAAAGTTGACTTTATGACTAAAGAAAATAATATTTGCATACCACATTGCACAATTCCTGGCACATTCCTCATTCATTACTTCTTGCCATATCCTCTCTTTCCTCCCTTGCCAGTAGAACACAGAGATCATGTTATTAATATCTTCAAGTGATTTGTTTGGGTCATAGAAATAAGAAAACATTTGGTTTGGGCTCAAATTTTTTTCATTTAATTAAAACTGTACCTCAACACTTTTAGCTATTTGTATGTACTATTTCTCATTGATTAAAATAAACTGAAAAATCCCCTGGTAGCAAAAATATGACATTTAATTAAATCAGCAGTGTACCACAACATTTGTTCAGCTGTAGGTTTATGTTTTTTTTTTTCAGCAGATCCAAGTTCGTATTGTACTTCATGTCCCAGCTGGATGTGTGCAATTTTGTGAATTTAACTGTGTACTTTTCATAATCATGCCCAGTCTTTAGAGGATTCAGAGTTTGATAATTAAAAATAATTGTAATCAACACCTAATGAAACTTACTTCCAGTTTCTATAACTAGCAAAGAGAACTTCTTTCAAATGATGCCTTTAAATTTTACTTCTTGTTGATAGCTTTATGTAATAAACCCTTCAGAATCTAGTTATAATATAAAAATTATGTTATATAATGCACACAACATTAGGTAATCACATATCATTGTACAAATTCAAGGATCTGAAACCATCATCTCTTGCAGTTGGCAAGCTTTATCTCTATGAGTGAAAATATCCATGCATCTATAATAGTAAAATACAAAGTTGTGGAAATTTCTTGAAATTCAGCAATACTGTACTATTATAACCAGTGTCACTCACTAGTCTTTTGAAAGTAGACTTACAGAATGTTTTAGTGACTAGCCCTTCATACAACATATAGCTTCATTCGGTGGGTTATGTAATTAGAGATTGCAACTTCATTTTCATGAAATGACAGCAATAAAGTAATACCAGTCTGCATGATAGCTTCCAATAAAATGAAGTAGACCTTTATTTTATTAGTCAGCAGTAGTAATATTTTAAGTGTGCATCGAATTTCATTGGCCCTCATTGTTTTTTCTTTGTTTAATAGCTCTGTCTCATGTGATAAATGTATTAGTGGCAGTGTGAGTGTAAAACTCTTTCTTCTTGTGCTAACTGCAAAAGCACTTAAATATTCATAAATTTTATAAAAAAATCATTGTTTTTACATTTTAGAAATGGAAGCTTTATTTATCACATGAAGTTTTTCTTGCAGTTATAAAGGCTTTTACCAGTGTAATATTACCTTCTCTCTGTAAACTGGCTACACAGAATTAAAGTTAATACCTGTGATTTTAATTCCACTTAGATCTATATAAGTCATTTAGGCAGATGAGGAGTTTTGGTATTTGTCTGACATTCCAATTGTTTCTTTAAAGGAAATTGCTTACAGCAGAGATCTATAATTTTATACTATATCAGAACATTTAGAAGTGATATTATGACTGAAAATGTATATTTCCCTCTCTCCTGCTTTTAGCTGTTCAAGGATCCAGTGTTATCTTCCGAACTGTGGAGGTCACATTACATAAAGAAGGCAATACCTTTGGTTTCGTAATACGAGGTAGGTGATGGAAAATAAGAACCATCAGATACTCTCAAAAAAAAATTATTTTTTCCATATGTAAAGGCGCCTTATAATACTTGCGCCCCACTCTTCTTTAAAGTAGTATCCCAAAGACCTAGAGTTAATTTCAGCCCATTAATATAAAAAAGCCAACATTTGTAAACCTTGTCATCCCAATCATCATGCTAATGTTCCACTTTTCTACATGTCTTTTACCTTCTATTTTATAATTTCCTATATCACTGAGGCAAAAAAAAAAATGATAATGAGTATGACTTGTTTTGATTTTATACAAAAGGATTAAACAACTTTGTTTAAATGAATTTTTCCTGAAATACATTTTGTTATTGTAGCTTTCTAAATGTGGATTGAAGGTGATTTAATGCCTTGGGCATCTGTGTGCATCAGCTGAAATCATTCAGTTATGGGACAACATTAACAATAAAGATTTGGGGTAGCTTCCACATATCTATAAAACCATTCATTCTGATTGGTGATTCTGGCTTCTAATATTTTATTTTTTACTGGTGATTCTGTTTATTAAAGACTATATATACATTAATGTTTGCAATTTCCTAGTATGGCAGTGAAGTTCAATAGGGAGCCACAGAAGCATCAGGAATTTTAAACATTTCACATTTCTTAATTTTTTTATCTCTTTTATTTTGTACTTCAATGGAGTCAAAATTCTATCAGAAATCATTAAAATAGTAAGTAAAATGAACTCAACAATCTACTATACATGTATCATGGAACAAAGAAAGTGTGTTCACTAATAGATTAATCTCAAATGATTGAGTTTAAGCGTTAGGTTCCATTCTATGTCAATTTTTTAGCAAATCAATCACCAGATATTTATTAAGGATATATCAACATGTCATCATAGTGCCAAGAACTATGACATCATAAGACAAGACTCCATCTACAGAGAATTACAGTCCAGTGAATGTAAGACATAAGTTGATAAAGTGTTCAGGTGAGTGGTAAAGAAAATGAGCAACTAGGAGCTCATTGGCCAGGAGATATTATATCTTTCTGAGCAGGTCCTATTTTTACATAGAACAAGGTACCCAAATACATTTACCTACCTTTTGCCAAATTTCTATGTAGAAGAAAAAATACCAATTATTTCAGCTTTGCTGGTATTATATACAATACTTGGCTTTATAACTTAGATGTGAACTTAGACACTTATACGTAGAAGCCCAATTATTGAGAAGCTACCATAAAAAATACTGCTGTTGCAAGTATTCATCGCTTTGTTGTGTGGTTAATCAATATCAACTCAAATGTTAAAGAAAGGGCTAAATCAGCAGTAATTTATCTTTAAGTACTAAAAAGAATAGAAGTAATTAATATGTTCACCCACCTAAAGATAACTGAAATATTGTTAATAAGGCCTATCTGGAGTGTCTTTCTTGTAAGAGTGACCACCATACATCCCTTGAGAATCATTGGCCACTCTCAAAATGAGTTGCAGATTGAGAAAGTTCTGTGGATAAAAATCATCATGGTAGGCCCTCCCTGGTGGCGCAGCGGGTTAAAGCACAGCACTGAGAAGCTAAACCCACTTCTGCATGAGTTCGATTCCCGCCTGCCCCGGAGGTGACCACATGGTGTGGCAGACCTCTCCTGACCCGCCCGCTGCTCCCCAGATCTGCCTGTTCTGCTCCCCACTCTGTCTCTGGTGAAGCCTCTCACCGCCCCTGAGCCTCTGGCCTGTACCCCAGTTCTGTATGAACAAATAAATAAATCTTTAAAAAAAAATCATCATGGTAGACAAGACATTAAGACATAGATGAGGTTTGAACTAAACTTAATCAATGGAGAACACTAGGCCAACTAGAAAGGAAGGGAGGCTATTGTAGATGGAACTAGAGAATTTCTTCTTACTAACTTGCAATAAGCTTTTGAATAATAGGATAGACTTTTAGCTGGTAAATGGAGTTGCATTTCTAATGCTGTAAGTCAAAGATTTTAAAACCTCGACTCCCCAAGCAATAGACCCATGTTCATAAAATGAAAATGTTGTTTTGGCCTAAATCTTAGAAAACTAAACTCCAGTTAACTCCCTTGCCACCAAGCTAAGAGATAGTTTGGGTTAGTATGAAGAAAAGCACTCTGCCACTAAGTTGCTTTTCACTTTGCACGTTAGTTCTCTAATCTCAACTCTAGAATTGTCCTTAGATCTGATGACCAGTATCCAGACTTCTTAGGGACCATAATCCTGCCTTTGTTATTTTTCAAAAGCATCAGGTAGTGATACTGACATGCACCTAGCAGTGAAAATACCACTAATCTCAGGGCAGTTTGTTTTTCTTTGAAGCTTCACACTTCTAGAACCTCCAAGAATGACAAATTAAACTTGCTTCATTATTTCAAATAATAAGATGTCATATATCAAGATATTGAGAGCTATCTTTAATATTTGATTACTTTACAATTTAAATGTAGAGCTCTACATCAAGTTAAAATAGCAGAAAGGTTTTCCTTGTGTTCAGCCCACATCCTTTTCTAAATCAAAGCCCCTTCAGGGAAAAAATAACCTATTTTTCTTTAACTTTACAAAAATAAAGTCACATAATAGTATTTATGCACATTATAGGAAAGCATGTACTGTATATTATTGTCATGATTTTGTTTTCATTTTCTTTCTGAGAAAGTCATCAGATACTTATTTTGAGAAAGGAGGATTTTTTTAAATAACATAATAGTTTATTTTTATATCATTTTGTACCTTTTTCCATCTCAGTTGTAATCCCCATGGGCGTCCCATCACCAAATCACCCATGTGCCATCACCATAATCCAGTGCACCGCCCTCCCCCCACTGCTTCTGATCCCATTCCCCATTCCACCCCCATAAAATATCTCTGGTATATAGTTGTTCATTGTTATTATTTTCTCGCCTGGACATTTATACCCCTGCTATGAGTGAAACCATCTGGTATTTTCCTTTTCTTTCTGGCTTATTTCACTAAGCATGATCTCTTCCAGCTCCATCCATGTTGTTGCAAAGGGCATTTGTTTATCTTTTTTGATTGCTGAGTAATGTTCCATTGTGTACAGGTACCACATCTTCTTAATCCAGTCATCTACTTTTGGGTATTTGGGTAGACTCCATGTCTTTCCTATTGTAAATAAAGCAGCAATAAACACGGGGGTGCAGGTGTCTTTTTGAATCAGTATTTTTGTGTCGTTTGGGTAGATGCCCAGGAGAGGGATTGCTATGTCATATGGAAGCACCATTTTTAGCAGTTTGAGAAACCTGAGAAGGGAGGGATTTTAAAAGAAGCCAGCAAACTGAATGAAAGGATAAAATACTGAAATGGTTATTGATCAGACTGAACAAGTCCTTTCTAACAGCAGAAGACATAAAAGAAACATTTGTATTTGTCAGAAGCAGGAAGCCTTTCAACTTTTTCTTAGGCTAAGTTCTTTATGTTGGTCTTTCTGTGTGGGCCAAGTTTGAAATGTCAGCCTGTTCCACCAGTAAACATTAACGAAGGAATACTTGACATTAACAGTCACGTTTATCAGTTACTGGTAAACAGCTTATCAGTTACTGACCAGACGGGCAGCCAAGGTGGTGATATCCAGGGAAAGCAGGTCACGTGAATATTGGCCAAAAAACTGGAAATGTTCAGCCTCAAGAAGATGAAACGGAATAGGTGTATCATCACTGATTTCAACTTTCAGGAAAACTTTGTTGGAGAAGAGAATTTATGATTTTGTTCACTGCCTTAGATAATAAAACAAGGACCAGTGGATGAGAGTTGGAGGGAGGTAAATGTCAGTTGAATATTAGGAAGAAGGCTGCCTCAAGACTGAGACAGAGCTTGACAGTGGGAGGATCTCAGGTGGAGACTAGGGGAGGTTATGGAAATTGTGCAAAGGGTCCCTGGATCTAAAAGGAGGGGAAATTATAATAAATTACCACTCATCTCAAAGCTCCTGTGTTCTATGAATTCTTAAGAGTTTTTCCCTATTTAAAGTTTAAATTGCCATTTAAATACTCTAACTGACTTGCCCTATCTACCAGATTTGCCCAAGGTATTTTGAACATCCCAATTTTAGTGGTGGCACTTCAGACACTTGAATGCTTTTCTTTGCTTCTTATTTTTGTAATTATTTTGACTATTTTCCTTGACTTTAGGTTATGCTTTCTTTTTGTTAGGCTGTAGATTTAGTCACCCGTACCAACACCCAGATGAATAGGCAGCACCAGGGATGCTTTGTATGAAACTGGCCGTTGTTCTAACAGGGCTGCCACTTGTGATATAAAATGCTCATATATTTTATGCGTCTTCCCTGACAATAGCCATATCCTCACTGAAATGTGATGAGTTCAAAATATATTCTATATAAAGTAAGACTTTTTATTATTTTATTTTTAATAAAATTTTATTGATTTAGGCTTCTCTCAGCAGTGTATTCAGATAAACCTGCCCTTCCTGTTCTCCAAATAAACAAAATTTGATCGATTTATAACATGATACAAACTTTAGGGGTACAGCATCACACCTCTACGTGTGCATACATTTCACTTTACCCATTAATGATGTTCTAATGCCCTTCCCACTGTTACTGGACTGACCCCTCCACCCTTTCCTTCCCCTTGATAACCTCCATATTTTTTAGTCTTAAATTATTTTCATGATAATTTGTTAGTTCATTTGTTCTGGTTACTTATGTTCCACATATAAGAGAAACTAATGAGCATTTACAGTAGGTAAGCTATGGAAACAATCCAGATGTCCAAAATTAGATGACTGGTTGCAGAAGATGTGGTTTATTTACACAATGGATTATTACTCAGCAATCAAAATGGATAAGCTCATGCCCTTCACAGCAGCATGGATGAGCTGGAAGGGATTATGCTCAGCAAAATAAGCCAGAAAGAAAGAAAAAATATTGAATGTTCTCACTTATAGGAGAATGTACTGAAAGCAAAAAAAGGAATCAGAAAATAAAAGTAACTATACTAAAGTAAAAATCAAAATCATCAGGCAACTATAGATCAGAGACATTCTGTAGGAAAGGGGTTGGGAGAAGGACCAGGACATGGGTGGGAAGCACACAAGGGACTATGGTGGGGTGCACTGGGGAATTGGTGGTGGGAATTTCACGGGGAAACCGTCCATTGTACAAAAATGAAGGGTGATATAATGAATCTATTTTTTAAAATTTAAAAAAAAAGAGAGAAACCAGTAACCCCCTCAATAGCACTCCTGGAATTTTCCAGAGAATGTAAAAATGAGCAGGACTGTTTAGTCTATTATATGCCAGAAGAAAAACTGCACATTCCCCCCCACCCCATACGTCAATAAAATGTACTTCATTCCCATTTTATAAGTGAACTTCTTAAATGGCAACACCAAAGGCATGTTTTAAGCTGTGCTTCTTTCTTCGCTAGGGGGCGCACATGATGATAGGAATAAGTCCCGACCAGTTGTGATAACGTGTGTTCGTCCTGGAGGGCCCGCTGACAGGTAACTGCATTTTGTGTGTGTCTCTAGCCAAAGAGATTAGAGAAAGTTGGGGGCGCTGGCAGAGAAATAGTGAGTGAGAATTTCATAATAAAATATAAATATTAAATAAATAATGGTACTATGTAGAAACAAAAACGGTTTAGGCTGCAGATTCAGTAGAGAGAGAATCGGAAATCGGATCTTACCACCCTTAAGTCTTTAGCAAATGTCTTAACTGTTCTGAGCTCAATGGCCTTCATTGTAAAATGTTGGTCATAATGCCTACACTTCAGGATTCGGTTTTATCAAAGCTTGCAGATGCATGGTGCCTTGCAGGGCCTGACAGACCAGCAGCACTTAACAGAACGCAGCTGGCTCTTAATAGTTAGGGGGCATTTAAAATGCCTCTTCTCCAGTTGCTGATCTCCTAATCTGGAGGGTTGGGGTGGTGTTCTGACTGGTATTACTGTCATCCTCCTCCCCTGACCATGAGTAGCTTTCAGTGCGGGCTCTGTATGTCACAGTAAGAGTGACTTTTTGTAAGAGGAAGGAGTATTGTGCTGTCTCGTCCTGGCTAATTTGAATATCTCAAGGACAGTTCTTCAGCTTTCATATCATAAACCGTAGGGAATCCCAAATAAACATGTAATTTAAATGTCTCAGGAGATACTTTATCTTTGTATTAATTTCCCACAGCAAACTTTGACTCCATATGGTTAGGGAACACAACCCCTAGAACAGATACTGTTGACGAGTGAGAGGAAAATGCACTGATTACTCCTGACTTTGCACTGTTTCAGACAAGGATGAAGTCTTAAAAACTTTTCTGAAGCAATAGAAATAGTAATAAAAGTAAACACGTTTTAGAGGGCATGTACCATGTACCAAGGGCTGTGAGTGCTTGGCACACTGACATTATTTTAGCCTCACATCCACCCAAGCAACATGAGCTATTTTTATTCACAATTACAGATGACAAAACTGAGGCCCAGTTTGCCTAAATAACTTGCCAGGTAGGACATGGAAGAACTAAGATAGGCATTCAGGTTTATTTTCTTTCAAACGTGTACTTTTAGCTAACTTGTTTAAACATGTTTAATATAAAATGAGAGAAAATAAAGACACTGTTTACTCACAAGTGCTAAATATCAATAATATTTGCCTTTGCAGAGAATAATACAAGATCAGAAATTCAGGAAACCACTGCCTTTTTTTCTTTTTGGGTTTTCTTATGTGAATTCTTTTTCTTGAACCAAATGAGAATATTTCCAGTTCTTATTAACATTTAGATTTAGAGTTGACAGAAATAGGTTATTAGTTTGTGAGCAACCTATGACCAAATTAATTTAGGGCTAAAGGAAATTGAAGAATTTAAAACAAAAATTTATTGTGAAAATGCATGAAGTTTATGGGCTCTCCCTGGCGGTGCAACGGGCAAAATATGAAGCTCTCTGAAGCCACTGCAGCACAAGTTCCATCCCCGGCCAGGGAGCTGACCCACATGGCACGGCAGACCTATTCTGGCCTGCCCGCTGCTCCCCTCAGTAGTGTACTTTGTCAATCTGCCTGTTCTGCTCCCCACTCTGTCTCTGGTGAATCCTCTCACTGCCTCTGCACCTCTGGCCTGTACCCCAGTTCTGTAAGCATAAATAAATAAATCTTTTTTAAAAATATGGAGATACAAAAATACTTAGCATTATCTAAGGGAAAGATATCTAAGAGGTAGTTTTGATTCTTTCCAAATCCTAAATTTGTAAAACCCACCGCTTCAGCTTTGTTATCTCCATGACTGTCCCTGAGGCAGAAGGATTATACTTGAGAAACTTCTCTGCCTGTTCCTCGGTCAGGTCATAATGTCTGGAAACTACATCTAATGCCCTGAGTTCCTATGGTCGCAGGAAGGAGAATAGTATCTGCCTGCCTCTTCCAGAGATCTGAGGCTGAATCAGTTTAATGATCACCAAAGTTCCATATAAATCAGCAGGAAAATTTACAGACTAGGGAAATTTCTTACCAGCCCTTCCTTTCCCACTTGAGTTCACTGGTAATAAATTGGAATCAGCAAGATTTTTTGCTCACCTGGCTTTGGAAAATAGGTAAATGCTACTTTCTAAGCTATAACAAGTCAATTTTAGACACTTAGGCAAAAACCTAGAAAAGGGAAAATGTGCCTTTATTAGTAATGCTTGCACCCCAAGAGTTAACTGTTGGTAGCTTAGCTATTAGCTAATACATGGCTATTTTCTTATTACTGATTTTCATATTATAGCAATTTTCTGTTCAAAGTTACCTCTGTATTGTCACACTGGATTCTTACAGGAAATGTAAATGGGGTGAATGGCAGAACGGGTGTGAAAAAAACACTTTGGCTAAGTGACACTGTTAAGCCTCTTACGCTAAATTAATGGAGACTTTTCCTTTATTCATTCTTCAGAGAAGGCACGATCAAACCTGGTGATAGGTTGCTCAGTGTGGATGGAATTCGGCTCCTGGGCACCACGCATGCTGAAGCAATGAGTATTCTTAAACAATGTGGACAAGAGGCTACACTGCTGATAGAATACGACGTCTCTGTGATGGGTATGTCGGGATCTGAGGTTATGATCTCTGAGCAATAGGACGTGTCACTGTCCATCCTAATAAGTCACTCTGGATTAAGAATGAACTGTTATATGCACCTGTAACAGACAGAATTTCATCAATACTCTATCACTATTCTGTTTGGGTTCAAGAAGAGGAAAGTGGCACTTCTAAGCAATTTAGAGTTCTTGTGTCAATGGTTTCTATAATAAGAGCTCATTCTGTCAGAGCGTGTCACCTAGCAATCAGTTCTTACATGTGGCTTACCCTTGGCAGGAAAGTATTTTCCTCTCCAAATCACAAAATATTATTAACTTAGAGGCTGGTACTTTTTCTTTTACTACAAAGAGACTGGGATAGCAGGATTCCTTTCCATCTGACTTCACAATATGAAACCAGCAATAAGAGTTCATTAAAATTACCATTTGATCATCTGTTTTAGGGTCAAAGAAAGGAAAAAGACATAGAATATCTTGATTAAATTTTGATTAAAAATAAGAAGTTGACTGAGCTATTCTCTCTTTAAATAATGATTACAATAGATATCGTCTTTCCACCCTTATAACTGTAGTAAAACGGGGAAGTTACGCTCATCTGACTTGTAAATGTTAGGAGCCAGCTAAAGTTTTGTGGAGTGTTGATGAAGGCAGAAAAATTATGAGAACAAATAGGAACCTGAAATTGAGGCTTAAATCAGGTTGTAAATACTTCTTGCAATTATAAGACTTGATTCTGTGACCTGACTTTATCAGCAAGTGTTATGCTGCTGAAATGTAGCAGAGTGGAGACTTAGTCTTTAATCCTTTACTTCAACTGCAAACTCCTTTGCTTCCCACTCGATATGATTCATATAGAACAGAGTTGCTTGAAAGTGTTCTTAATCTGTCTACTGGCCTGAAATGTTTTAGAGAAGTAGAGATACCCTAAAAGGCTTAATGGGTGATGTTTAAGGATCTCAGCAGGATAAATACTATAATAGCTCCTTGTCATGGAAAATTTAAGAATAAATTTTCCTCCATTTTTCCTTTCTCTTTTTTCTTTTCTTCCTTCTTTATCTTTTGTCATGTAGTTTTTCAACTGGATTTTGAATGAGATGATTTGGATTCCGTTTTCAACTCTACTGATTTCTAGTTATTAATTGGACCATGTTACTTCTTTCCCTTTTACCTCATTTGTCAAATGAGTACTAACAGTGCCTGTTTTAAAAGGCAGTTATGAAGATAAAATTATATTAGCAAAATAGATTTAAATTATCACATAACATATTACTAACATTGAAAACAAGACAGGGCCCTCCCTGCTGGTGTAGTGGATTAAATCACAGCACTAAGATGATAAAGCCACGTCAGCATGAGTTCCATCCCCAGCCTGGAGGTGACCACATGGCACAGCAGACCTCTCCTGACCCGCCCGCTGCTCCCCTCAGCAGTGTACTTCATTGATCTGCTTGTTCTGCTCCCTTCTCTGTCTCTAATGAATCGTCTCACTGCCCCTGCACCTCTGGCCTGTACCCCAGTTCTGTAGGCATAAATAAATAAATCTTTTACATAAAAAAATCAGAACAAATGTCTGACATATTTAATTTATTCATTTTGCCTTGAACTAACTGGCAGATACCAGAAATAAACAAAGTTTAAACTGGGATTAAGTTTAGTTTAGGTTAGATAATTGAGAATGACAGCTTTGGAAAAGGCAGTAAAAATGGTGGCTTACAAAATAAGAATATGAGATACTTTCAATTAGTATTATTGTTTTTCAAATATTTACTAACCTTTTCGTAACAAAGTGTACATTTTCTCTTTTTCTGCAACTTTTGGAATCTATATTCCTCAAAGGAACAAAATGAACTCTTTCTACACAAGTGCCTACTAGTTATTTGAAAAGGCCCAATTATCTAAATTAACTTTGCATATCAGTTTCCCATTAAAATTAGCTTATCACTTTCATTTTTAAGTGAGTGAAAAAGCCTAGTACTTAGCCTAATACCTAAAGCCTTGTGAAATTAAATTTGTATTTAATTTTAAGTTAAATTAATATTTAAAATTTTACAAAATGTATAGATTTTTTTAACAGGATCCAAGCAGAAAAAGATTTTTCATGAGAAGGTAGTCAGTAAACCAGAATTTTGGCACCAAACATATTGATACTTTATTTGGTGAATTTGTGTTAAACATTAGTTTTTGATTTCCTAGAATCCAGGTTAAGTACTGATCTAAAGAATACCAACTATATGTCTGCCTAAAATATTCACAGAGCCATAATGAAAAATGTGTTGAAAGAGATATTAGATTATGTGGATTCATGTCTTGTACTTTTTAACCAATCTGCCTTGATGTTAGATGTTAGAAATTAATGACTTAATTTCTTTGTTTCATCTTTCCCTTCTATAAAATAAGAATAATGGTACCGAGCCTATCTAGCTCATTGGGATAGGAAAATCCTCCATAATTAGGCTTTTAAAATAAAAAGCTGTTCATCTTTAAAGGAAGCCAGGCTATAGTTAGGAGTACAAAGGCTAAAAACTTTGAGAATTTATAAAATAGAATTTACAGGGCTCTAATCAGATATCTGTCTATCACCCTCAGATAAAGCCAAATAAATCCAAATAAATGCGGAAATTGCAGTTAAAAATTTAAGGTCTTAGGCCCTCCCGGCTGGCTTAGTGGGTTAAAGCACAGCACAGCAAGCTACTCACAGCCACTTCAATGCTAGTTCAGTCCCCTGCCCCAGAGGTGACACATGGCGAGGCAGACTTCTCCTGTCTCGCCCACTGTGCCCCTCAGCAGTGCACTTCATCAGGCTGTCTGTTCTGCTCCCCACTCTGTCTCTGGTGAATACTCTCACTGAGCCTGTACCTCAGTTCTGTATGCATAAATAAGTAAATCTTTAAATATATGCATATATATATGTATATATTTTAGTTTAAGATCTTAAATTGGGAAAATGAAGAGCAATAGCTCAGTAGTATATAGGGATGCCATCAGCAGAAGCCCAATTTTAAAAAAAACAGGAATTTATTTGTTCACAGCTGCAGGTCACGGTCCAGCTCATGTCACCAGAAGGCTTGGTTTCTAGTGAGATGTCTCTCCTTGCTCACAAGCAGCTGCCTCTTTCTTGCTGTGTCCTGACACGGCCTTTTCTCTGTGCACACCCCCTCCTGGGCCTTTTACCTCTTCTTATGGACTCCAAGCCTATTGGTGACATCTTGTAACCTTAATTACCTCTGTAAAGCCCTATCTCAAAATATAGTTACACTGGGGGCCTCCCTGGTGGCACAACCGGTTGGGACGCAGCACTGCAAGCTGACCACAGCCGCTTCAATGCGAGTGTGATCCCTGGCCCCAGAGGAGATCCACATGGTGCAGCAGACCTCTCCTGACCAGCCCGCTGCTCCCCTCAGCAGTGTTCTTTGTCCATCTGCCTGTTTTGCTCCCCATTGTGTCTCTAGTGAATCCTCAGCACCCCAGCATTTCTAGCCTGCAGCTCAGTTTTGTTTGCATAAATAAATAAATGTTTAAAAAATGCATTTACATTGGGAATAGAACCCCGTTTTCACTAGCATAAGGAGGGAATGTATTAGCCTGCAAAAGTGGAGGAGGGCATCCAAGATGGATCCTGGCTTCAGACACACATGCAGTTGTGTGTATGTCCTAAGACTTCTGTCTCTCAGTCCTTTTTGCCTGGGAATGTCTTGCCTGTGTCTTGGCAACATGGCCCAGCAAACACAGGTTCCCAGTATCTTGAAAGTCCATAATGCCAAAGAAAGAGACAAAACTGAATCTCCCCTAGAAGATGCTCAGTGACTTAGCTTGGGACAAAGGCTGGTCTCTGCATGGTCAGTGCGCGCGATGGTGTGCACTCTGCTCTGACGTAGGAGAGGCAGAAACATGTTGAACAACCCCAAAAGAATGAGACAAAGAAATGGTACTTCCCCCAGAGCATATGATGTTGGACTGATAAAAGGTTGGACACAGTTTGATATTATGTAGTACATTCCTGCTACCAGGATAAGTGAGAGTTTCCTGTGCTTATGTCCTTGCTGGCACTTGGTAGTCTCATTCTGTTTCACAGTAGCCATCCTAAGGGTGTGTGTTGGTATCCCCATTATAAGTTTAATGTGTTTCCTAGATGTATAGTGGTGTGAAACATATTTTCATTGCTGGTAGGACATACTAAGGGCATTGACTTTGATATTAAAACTTTATTTATATATTACTAACCTAATGAAACATTGCATTTTAGTATGTATCTATAATTATAAAAATTGCCATTATTAATTTATATACCATTAAAAGTACCAAATTATTTCTTAGAAAATGTGTGTGTATGTGTCAGCCCTGAATTAGATTTATTGTCCAGTCAATCTCAGATCATAAATTTTAGCTAACTTGATAGTCTGTTCAGAAAAACTATTGAAACTAGTCTCTGGAGTACAATGCAAGCAGATAAGAATGGGAGATGCAGGTGTAAAGGACGTTAGGAGTTCAGTATCTGATAGTGAGCAGTAGAGTTATATGGCCATTTTCCAAGTGGAGGTGTGGAATAGACAGGTGAGTGTTTAAGGTTGGGGTTCAGCCTTCACTACTTAAGGCAGAAGTTCGTATAGGAAATAGGTATTTTTGAAGCATCAACACAGAAATGGGACTTAAAACCATGAGGCATCTTAGGGGCATGAGAAGAGAGGCCCCCAGAATGAGCACTAGGGCCCTCTGCATTGAGATGTCAGGAAGATGAACTGGAACCTGTGAAATAAGTTGAGAAGAAGCCTCCATTAGTGGAGAAGGAGATCCTAGGCAGAGTGTGGCCTCACAGAGGCCAGCTTTTTCCTTTCTAATGTGATAGTAATTATACTCCTGCCCTTAAAGGTTGTTATGGGAAGCAAGAGTGTTAGTACATATGAAGTGTTTGGCACTTTCTGTGCTCAACAAATATTAAGCAAGCCTTGAAAATGTTTGGGGGGGGGGGCGGGAACGCCGTTATTGTTAAAATGCATTACCGAG